AGCCCTTGCTCATAAGGGCCCCCGCGGAGAGCAGCGGTTTTGCAACCGCCATCACCCGGAAACAGCAACGTCCATTGAGGGAGTTCTGGCCGATGCCGATGGTCACCCTGGCCTCGATCTTGCCAAGGTCCTTGACCACTTCGCCTGAGGCAGTCTTGTAGACTTTGCAGGTGCCTTCAGGCTGGATAGGCTTGTAGCCCAATGCGGTGGCCAGTTCAACAGGGATGCAGGAGGTCGCGGCTCCTGAATCCAAGGTCACCTGATGAGCCATTGGCGTCTCCATGGATGCCAGCTCCAAACTCTTGAGAGCTAATAGATCCTCCTCGCCCTCATCTGGCTCACTCGAAGGTGTGGGATATCGTTTTCCCTTTCCCTTCTTGGCCTCACGGGCAGCATCCTGAGTGGCCACGTTGACGGCTCGAGTCAACTGCACTTTCTTCTGCTTGCCCTTTCCTTGGCCCTTCTCGGAGGCAGCCGGAGCCGAAGCGGCTCGGCTTTTGCCCGGGGATCGTGACCGGGACTTCAGCCGAAGCGTCTGCCTTGGCGCTTCGCTGGATTCCTCTGGCTTGGATCCTGGTCCACGGAATCGCTCCTGGTGCTCCTCAGTCGAGCTCTTGAACCAGGCCATGCGCTCCTCCTTGGTCTTGCCTTTCTTCTCAGGAGGTGGAGGTGTCTTGGCGACGCGCCTTTGCTTTGGCGTCTTTGGGCCAACCTCATCTTCCTCCTCCTGTTCTTCCATCATCTGCTGCATATGGGCTGTCATGTAGAAAGGTGGTCCTTTCTTGACGGTCTCAAGCTTTGGATCTTCCATCTTCAAATGCTTTGCCACATCTTCGGGCTTCAGATCCATGTCGGCATCTTTCACATGCTTCGGCGCATCTTTTGAAGTTGGGCTGCCTTGCTGTCCCTTGGCAGTCTTGATGCGCTTTCCCATCTCTTTCTGCTTGATCGTCCATTCCTTTGCCCACTGGTTGAGGACTTTTGGCGGGCAACAATTCAAAGCCATATGATGGTTCCATAGGCCGGTGTCATTGTCACACCTCAGGGCCTTGTTGCACGCACGGCAGACCATGTTCTTGCTGCCATCTCTGTTCTTGTGGGTGCATTTGGCTACCCATTCATCATAGCTGAGGATGCGCTCTTGGAACATGTGATCGAGCCATGGCACGGTATCTTTCTCCTTTTCTTCTTCTTGTCCATCTGACTCCTCGTCAGCTGGCTCAGTGCCATTCTCATCCTCTTCAACTTCACCTTCAAACTCTTCTTCTTCTTCGAGTCCCTTGATCTCAGTCACATCAAGGGGATTGATGTTCTCCACGACTGGAGCTGCGAAGGATGGTGCGCTTGTTGCTCCTTCGCCTTGGCTTTCGACGCGCTTCATCACAACATAGTCCTCTGGGTTGAACCCAGCTGCAGTGAGCGCCTTGTCGATGACACTGCGGGCTGGATGGCTGGTAGCCGTCCATGTTTGGCTTTCCCGCTTCATCTCTGCCAACTCTTGAGTGGAGAGATCCTCGATCTTGGGCTCCTTCTCTTTTGGCTTCTCAGGCTTCTTTGCCTGTCCTGGCTTCTTGTAGCCACGATGCCTCTGGGCCTTTTCTCGACCTCGAGGCTGAGGGGCTTCATCAAACTTTCCCTCATCATCTTCATCATCCCAAGCTTGAAGTCGACCAGAACCCTTGGCACGAGCGATCTCATAGTAGTCGAGCTCCTCAGGGTAGTTGGCCTCATAGTCGCGCCAGGATTCGAAACGATCCTGGGCCTTCTCAACGCGATGTTGCTCGGCGCGCTGACGGCTCTTCTCCTTCTTCTTGGCCAATCTTGGGTCCATGCCTGATGCCAAATCAGCTGAGAGCCTTGGCGACTCCGCCGGAACCGAAGCGGCTCGGCGAGGAGTTGGCCTCTTCAGCAAGATCTTGGCTTCTCTCTCCTTTTCTTCATACTGTTCTTTCAGCCTCTTCATCTCGGCCTGTTGCTCCAAGATGGCATCATTGGCTGCTTTGCCTTTGGCTTCGGCCTCTTCGATGGCCTTCTGGATTGTCTCAGACTTCTTCTCATACAGCTCGCGATTGGACTGCATGGTCTCTTGGATTGCTTGGTTCATGACTGCAATCCCAGCAGCTGCAATTCCAGGACGACCTTTTCCAGCTCCTGGCTTCTTTGGCATAGCCTTGACTTCAGTCTCGGCTTTTGCCTTGGCTGCTCCACGAGAAATTGCGGCAGGTGCTGCTTTCTCCATCTCGATGGCAAAGAGGGTGGCGATGTCAGCTGAATACTCAGGCTCGGGTTGATGCTCTTGAGCCATAGAGGTTTCAGATTCCTCAACTGAAGCTACCTTCTTACTTTTACTCTTGCCTTTACCTTTAGAGTCTTTGCCTTTGCCACCTTTGCCTTTACCCTTGGAGTTTTGGTTGTACCAACTACTCTTGTTCCAATCATTCTTATACCAATCGTTCTTGTTCCATGAGTTGTTCCATGACGAGGGATTGGACCATGAAGAACCTTTTCCCTTCTGTTTACCTTTGTCGTTTCCCTTGCCTCCATCTTGACTCTTTCCTTTTCCTTTGCCGCCTTTTGAGCCACCTTTGCCTTTTCCTTTGGCTTTAGCCAGACTTGCAAGTGAAGCTTGCATCTGGCTGGCAGCTGCGGCTAGTGCGTCAACATCCATTGGCGCTGATCCAGTCTTTGCTTCTTTTCGGCTCTCGATGTTCTCGAGGTAGGCCAAAATCTCTGACTTCATGATGGCATAGTCAGTGAGTCTCGAACTCTGGAGATCAAGGTGATCTTGAAGTTTGGCTGGACACATCTGCTGAAGACAACTTCTTGCGATGTCATCATCAAGAGCTTTCTTCTTCCGCTCTTCATACTTTCGCCTGATGTTTTCCCAGGCTTCTATGCTCTCTCTGAGCTTGTCCAATGCACACTGTTGTGGGTGCAGGACCTTCTTCAGCAAAGCTGAGTTCGCTTGTGGGTTCTGTGGATCATACTTGGTGATCAATCGTCTCAATGCTTCTAGGCCAAAGTGTTGACCTCTGGAGGTATTCTTGACAATCTCGAGGGCTTCTCCCTCACATAGTGAGATCAGAGCCTGTCGGGCCTGAGCTGAAACAAGCTCGGCTCCTTCAGGATAATCATCTTCCAGAGATGTCTCATTGATCTCTGTGTCTTGATGCTCTTCGAGGAGCTGAATGCACTTTCCTGCATTCTTGTGACGTGTCTCAATCCAAGTCTTGAACTTGAAGTACCATGAATCCCAGGTACCTATGTGTCCACTGAACTTGTCAGGCTTTGGAATGCCTTTCAACTCTGATCTGTCTCTTACTTCTACGCTAGTGGCTATGTTCCTTGTGATTGCCGTTTGTTGTGTATACGCTTCTGCCATTGCTCGTTGCAATTGGCTCTGCCCCTGTGCTAGGGCTTGCATCATCTGTGCAAATTGTTGTGCCATGTCTGTGGCTTGTGGTGCCTGTGCTCCTGGCTGTTGCGCCATGTTGACTTGCTAGCCAGGGATTGAAGCAATCCGGCTTTCCTGCAAGTGATGCTTGTTTTGTGGATCTCTGGTGCCAGAGCCGACGCGGCTCGGCGACCTTCGATTCGCAGACGGTAGCCGGGTCTTAGAACCGCGGCTCCGCTACCATGAACGGAGAATTTAGGCTCTTAAACTCTGTGACCCCAAGTCACTGTCCCAAAGGTTGTTGTAGAAGCTTAGGCACACTTTTAGCTCAAACTCGAACAAACGGATTGAACAAACGGCTGCAGTGAAACATACATCTATACAAGCTATGTCATGTACATGTAACTGGTGCTACATCTGATCACCTTCGCAGTGGACAACACTCACCAAATTGCAAAATCTTGACCCCACTTTGAAAGGAAGTCTTTTGACCTACCCACGCCCGCTGGTCTTCAGAAAGCAGTCCAAGCGCGGTGAAACAGGTTCTGCCACCATGCGTCAGGTCGTCAGCGGCTGTTCCACCGGCATAGATGGTTGGATGCTGCACAGCGATAGTTCACAAAGAAGTGTCGCCAAAACCAAGAACACTCTGAAAGTGCACCTCCAGGTGGATCTCCTCTTGAACTCTACCTCCACTCCGTTCAGAAGTCACCTCGTAGTTCCGACGAGGACCATATTTTTTCACATGTGACATGCAGCAGAGGATCTCCTGGATCCACCCAAGAAGCGAATCGCAAAAACATCAAGAGTTGGCCAAACAATCAAGAGTTGGCCATCTTTCTCTTTGCTGGAGGCCCGGCCCCCCCCGCCTCCCACACCTCTGCTCACAGCCTCACCGCAGAAAAAGGGCGGGCGTTCTCCAAGGCGTTCGTTCCCCAAAAGGTCGGAGGCGAAGCAGAGCGAAGGATCGGAGCTGGATGAACACCTCCAGCTTTGATATACTTGTATAAACATAGTACTACTTGGGTCATCTTGGGTCTATCTTACCAAGATAAGTGTGAATGATGATGGTTGCAGGTCTTGTTGAAAAATAAGACCTGAATTCATTCCTAGAAAAACGGCTTCACCGTTCGCCGTGGCGTTTTTCACCAAGCCGCTCAGCTCACCCGCAGACCTGTCGGTCCCAGACCTCGTGGTGGGCACCGAAGCAGTAAGCAGCTCGCACGAACCGGCGCGAACGCACTGAACAACGAAACGAAGCTTCCTTCTCACAGTTCGTTTCACAATCTTCTCACTACAAGACACGGAAAGTTCTGCATTACATGACCAAACCACACATCGGCTGTAACACATGCTGCTCCTTCTCTGTTTCTCTGTCTCTTTCTCTCTCTCCGCATAGCTCTCTGATCCTTTTGGTGAAAAGGTGATGTTGCCAGGGAGCCAGCCAGAGGTGCTGATCTCGTGCAGCTCAGGTGGCGCTTATCACCTGCCGCACATGTTCGGAGGCCATGCATTGCTTCATCCAACATCTCAAGATCCACAGTATCATCCAACTTGCACATGAGATGGACATGACATGGAGATCTCAACTGCACATTCAACCGCGCCTGCATTGAGGTCACAACTTCGACACTTCAGGCGCAAAGAATTTTGCAGGCGAGTCTGAACCCCCAAACCTCCTGTGTGAAACGTGTTTGGCACCTTTTTTGGGTGCAACTGTGGGTGGCTACAACTTTATCACGTCCTGTGAAACCATCTGATATCTAGACCTCAGAGCTCGATGAAAGCCTTTACCAGGATCCAAGGAAAGGGTTGAACCGCTCAAACCGCGGTAAATCCCCTGCTCAATAGAGGCCTTTCAACAATTCCATCCCAAAAAGGCACTGCACAGGGGCAAGGCTCCACAATCTCTGGCTTCGCCGCACTAAAAAGCCACTTCCACCATCTCCATTTCACCCGCGATGCTCCCGTCGGTCCCGTCGGGAGCATCGGAGTCCACCTCAACAAAAGACATCAGACTCCGAGACCAGACTCGTTGGCGTCGAACAAAACGGAAAAAACCGGTCATCTCGGTCAGTTCTGAGATGCAAACCAGGAAAGATAGACCAACCAAGTTCTATGCGTGTTTCTTTTTGTTTTTCAAAGTTCTGAGATGCAAACCAGGAAAGACCCAAACCAAGTTTCATCGATGGTTTGGGGGTACATCTCAAACCAGGAAAAAGAGACCAAAATGATCCAAAAGGAAGCTTCATCGATGTTTTTTCGTGGTTTTTCGAAGGGTGGCGGAAGTCATTCTGCGAGTTTTACATCATGCAGATGCAGCTGAAGAAATCGGTACGAGCAGCGTGACACACACAATACAGTGGATTGAGAGTAGATGGCACGGGCTACCCCAACTTTGGTGGCTTATATGGAGCCCCCTCAAAAAATAACAGTCATCTTGGGATGCCAGTGCCATGTCTCACCTCTGAAACCACCTAAAAAACAAAAACAAATACATCAGAATACTCATCGTCCAGCCTCTCCCACAAAGTGGCGCACTCCCAGGGAGTGGCTCCAGTGGGGCACGAGCTCAGCACTGTCATGTACCAAGCGATCGTCCTTCTCATCATTCGCGGCGGCGGCCACGGAATCCTCACATTCATGTGTCCGGGCTGTTTTAATCACTAGGATTGAAACCCAAGCAGTTCAGGACATGATTTGCCAAAAAATGTGTCCTCATACCGGTGCATGCGCGATGCAATCTCTGCCACTTGGCTCTGTTGCAAACCTGCTGATGAATGTGGTGCAAATGGCAGAGCCAACACTGTGCGCAAGCCCTTAAGAACCTTGGCTGGAGTCCAAGCTCAGAACATTCTTGTCAACCGAAGCCCTATATTACTATGTACCCGTTTTAGATATATACATGTGTTGGGGTTCGTAAATGTGCTGAATCCTATAGTAACTCTCTCCAAAACTGCTTGAGTCTTCCCTTACTTCACACATCAAAGAGCTCTTGGTTTCCTTATCTCTTTGTCTCTAAAAGAAATGACAATGAACCACAGCCCGAGAAGGAAAATCACAAAAAAAGGTCTGGTAAAGGAAGAAACCTGCTGTGCGTGAGCAAGACCTCCGGGAATTGGCGCAGTGATGGGGCTTCTCTTCATCAAGGTGTCAATGCTCGGAAAGTCAAAATTGCTGTCGGCAATGACCGGCACCATTTCCAAGGTCCGCTGGGAAGGAGCGCAATATGCAGCATGAAGCAGGAGCTTGGCAAAGTCTTTATCCCGGAAGATGCCGCGGAAAAGCAACACCACCAGGTAGTAGGCAAATGGCCGACAAGTTGCCATTTGCTGAATCCCCTGGATCACTTCACACTCGACACTCAGCTGCACCTGGAGTAATGACTGGAAGACCTCGCAGGCGGACAGAAACTCTGCCTCCATCAAGGAGCTGAGAATGAGAATGCGAGGCCGTGAGACCTTAATCGAAGCTCTCTCACTCGGACGCCGAGAAGGAAATAGGCCGCAAAGACTCAGCAGGTCCACGACCACCACTTCCCGGTCACCAACCTTGGGCAAAAGTGGCTGCATGGCTGTATGGCTTGCATAACTATGTGGGTGTGGGACCTTCGTTGACCTACCTGGAAGGTCAAGCTGTTGGGGGCTTCAGGTTGTGACTCATCCCCGTGTCACTTCACACATGGGAAGAGCCGCCCCAAAGGTCATAGGCCACTAGGCGGCCGCTAGGCCCCGCTAGGCTGCTGCGCTACACAAACCAACACACAAGCATACAGCTGCATGCACATAGCCCTACTAAGCCCCACACCGGACCAAATCGTGGCATCTTGAGAGAAGTCAATTCATGCTGCAGCCACGCATACGCTGCGTTCAAATCATCGATCTCCACCCCATAGTTTGAGAGCTGAGCCTTCTGGTGAGGCGTCCAAAGTTCTGGGATCTGCTTCTGTGCCTCATCGGAGAGTATCTCAAAGCCATCACAGACCAATGGCACGGTCGTGATGCTATTCTTCCATGCCGTGACGATTTCGCCAGCACACCAACTCCTTGACAACAGCTCTGGGGTCAACACAACTACTAGATTCTTGACCGATGTCCTGACAATGTCGAAGAGCAAGTCAAGGTTTTCCAACTGGTCACTGTCCAAGAACACGCGAGTGGATGAGTGTTGAGCAATCAGGATCTTGATCAAGCGGCACAGGCTTCCCGCGCCAGCCTTGTGATGGCATAGGAAAATACCATAGAGCTGCTCTTTTGGCCGAAGATGCTTCACTGCAAATTTGACAAAGCTTAGCAAAGCCACAAGCATGATTGCAAGAACTGGGACACAAAGAAGCCAACCTAGCATTGCCTCAGTCTGTGTCTTGTCTGTCAGTAGCAAGGGGCCAGCACTGAGCAGAATCACGAGGAGAAGGTCAGTCAAGAGCATATCAACCAAATTGGCCAATTCAGTACGCCATGGGCATGCGTATACCTCCAGATTCTGGACAGCAATCAAGATGATGCCCATGAGAGGCACTTGAAGCTCAGGAACGCCCACCAGCACTGTAGGCAGAAGAGCCACCAAGCCATTGCGATAGAGAAGAACCAAGCCGTAGTAGTAAGCCTCAGGTTTGAATCGATGGAAGAGGAAGCGGTACCGAGCGGAAAAGCGAAGACCCTGGCCACTGGCAATGTGCGATGGATACGTGTAGATGAGATAGCTCGCCAACACCAGCACTGCCACAGGCTGAGTCACAACTCCTCAGGCATCTTAATCATTGCTAAATGTTCTGCAAACTGCATCCCGCCCGAACACGCCAAAACCTGCAAAATGCTACAACATTGATCCCTAAAACGTGTTCGACTTTGAAGTCAGAGTTCCTACCAGTGCAAGTCCAGCAAAAATGGCGTGATCTGCTGACTCATAGCAAATGATGCCCGGGTGCGCCAACATTGAGCTGCTTCCATTTGGATTGGACACACACTGAAAAGGAATCAGTGTCGTGCGGGTGATCGACAGGAAGAAAGCAAAGATCAACAACCCACACTGGTTCATGACGGTGTTGAATGGCTTCGGCCGCCCGCGCACCTTGCTTACGATCCAACTGCACACCAGAAGAGCGCAAGCAACCGGACACATGAGCAAGCGGTTGACAAAGAAGAGTACGGGACTGTCTGTTCCAAAGAAACAAGAAGTTCGCACGAAGTGGAAGTCGAACATGAGGATCTTCGTCAGGTTGATCAGGGTCTTTACCGGTTCATGCCATTGGATCGATAGTTCTCGGATGGACCCCAAAGCCTGAATTGACATGAGGAGCTGGCCGCTCACTGAGGCTGCTGTCACGGTGTTCAAACCTCACGGTGTTCATTCAGTTTAAGCAGAGACACCACCCGAAATTCGTCGCGTTCGTTGGTGAATGGTAGAGTCCGGAAAAAAATTCCACGAAAAGAAAACCATTAGATGTTACGTGTATAGAGAGAGAGAGAGACAGGTATATATTTTGTGTCAAGGACTGAAAGTTAGAATGCCGTGCGGTTTTCCAAATTTTCCACAATATCAGTTAGAATGCCGTACTGAAGGGGCACAATGTTCAAGTAGTGGAAAAAACAGAACAACATGAGAAAAACTTGTTTATTGTGTGCTGCTTTGTGATGCATTCTACACAATGCTGTGATGATTCTGGGCTGATTCTAGGCAGTGTCCAATGGCCTGCAACATTTAAACAAATAACATTGACAAAGACACTGCAAACTCCCAATTGGAACGCTTTCTCCAGGTCGGTCATGGATGGATAGAGATGGATGGAAACGGGTGGGTGGGTATTTTTTTGGATGGACATGGATGGAAAGGGCGGGGTGGGTGGATGGTCATTGATGGATGGATGGATGGATATGGATGGATGGATGGATGGATGGATGGATGGATGGATGGATGGATGGATATGGATGGATGGATAGAGATGGATGGAGATGGATGGATGGATGGATGGATGGATGGAAAGAGTGGGTGGTTTGTAAACAATGCATACATACAGCATCTGGTGTCTCAACACTTGTATCCATCCTTTGACAAGTCATGGTTCAGGTTTTATCCTGTTTGCATGTTCCATTTGCTTTGCTCTGACAAGTCTGAGCCATTGGCGAGCCGGCGATGAACTCATATCAACACATACACGCTGCTCAGCAACTTTGGCGCGGCCCCCATACAGCATTCTATCTGTTTGGTCTATCGGAAGGGTCGCCTTTTTGTGGGCGCAAGATGGTGCAACCGCATTCTATCCGCGCTGTCGCATTTCAAACTTTCAGTCCTGGACTATATATTGCGAACTTTTTCCTCTCGATCATGCCATAGGCTTGTCTATGCATTCCTTCTAGTTCTTAATCCTCTATGAAGCCTCCATTGACAATCAATCCACAATGAAACCTCTTCGTGTAACTTCTTAACATATCTACCTGGTGTTCATCTTTCTCTTTCCTGTCGAGGATGCGCTCAATTTCCATCATCCTCGCATCACATTCACTCACTTTGCCTGCGATGGATCTTCTGTGTACTTCTAGCAGTCTTTCCTTCACGTGTTTCCAATTGCCCTTCTGGTGCTCATTCTTACCTTGCTTGTCCTTTCCTTTGGCACCCTGAACTCTGTCAACGTCCATAGGCATGGGTCCTTTATAATCTGCACAGCTACTTGCAACCGTCGAAGTAGCCCACATCTGTTGAGAACGGTCCCATTGCAACACTTGTTCCCTCAAAGCTTGGTATTGAACATTGTCACCAATTGTCAAATTCAAGTAAAATGTGAGCTGTCCACCCACACATCTCAAAAGAATTGTATAACTCTTCTTGAATTGCTGTCCCTGACTTGACCGTCTCCTCAAATACCTCTTCCAGAATGAGAGAAGTTGAGGTTGTAGAGCAGTGTTCATAGAAAACGCTGGCCATGTAGTGGCTGCTCCCACAAGCGCTGACCCCCTGGCTTTTGAAATAGGCTTCACAGCTCTGTTCAAGCTCCTGCAGGCATCAAATCCATTGGAGTCCTCCACAGCTGTAACCAACTGTAGTGCCTAGTGATCCATGCAGCTTGATGCACCTGGTCTTCTCTTCTTTGTCTGCCAAGTCAATATCGAAGCTGTCATTTGGCTTGTCATGAATTTCTTTCAAATACTTCATGTACGCCTCATCCACTGAACGAACTCGTTGAACGCTTTGATCTCTTCCTCCTGGGACTTGTGCTCAAATAAGCTAGGCTTTGTGATGAGCTTTGACCAATCTGCCGTGTTTGCCTTCATGTCTTCGACTGCTTTCTTCACTGCCTCTGCTGCAAGCGTGCTTCATGCAAGTTGTTCCAGGATCTCCCTTATCTCCCAAAACAATATTGTCCAACTAACACAGCGTTCGGTGTACAGTGTGCAGTTCCCAGCACTTTGCCAACAGGTCAGCAGTTTAGGTTCAAAGGCCCCAAATCTATGGCTCAGACGCTCCGGGATCCCAGTGACCTAGGGGCTTTACTCTGGAGCTCAAAGGGGCTTTCCCTTATCCTTGCTCCGCTAACATACGAACACTTTTTCCTCTCAATCCAAAAGCATGGTGCACGTGAAAACTCTTTGACATGCAGTCTGATCTACCACGCTAATTACTCACATATATACATATAACATAATAACATATGCAACTATATACTTTGTTTTTCACGGGACAAGCTTCTATTCAGGATCATGTAGAATTCAAATACGGTATATAAGTGTGAAGAATTCGACCGTTCTGTCCCAGCGGCTCACTTGGCTTGGGTCCCAGTGTGAACGACTGATGAGGAACAAGCCACAAAGGAACAACATAACCCCCAGAATGAGCGGCAATGTATCTCCATCTTCACAATGCTCACATGCCCCGATGCCACGAGGGTAATGGCTGGCCTGGCAGTTGTTGCAAGCTTGTCCCTCTCTGCCATCCGAACATCCTCCCAGGGGTCCTGGAGGGCACTCCAGGTCATCTCGGCAGCGTAAGACTGAGAAGTCACAATGTGAAGCATTGGGGTCGGCCCAAAAGCCACCCTGCTGTTGTGGAGGCCCCAAACCCTGAGGACAATGCAGTCCCACTGGGCATGGTAAGCAACCTCTCTCCTCGCACATGAAGGAATGCTCCGCACACAGGCAGTCAGACACGGCCGTGGAGCCTGTCTCTGGAGTAATCTGCCCTTTCCCGCAAGGGATACATTGAGAGCTCCCACCTAAAGGCATGTAGAAACCTGACACACACCTGCTGCAAATTTCCATTCCTTCCTGCGGCCCCTCAGTGCCAGGTGGACAGGGAGTGCATTGCACAGAGCCGGCATCCAAGGCGAAGCTACCTTTGGGGCAAGGAGTGCAGTTCATCATACCAATCTCCGAAGCAAAGGTACCTCTCGGGCAAGACATCAACGAAGCGGTCGCTCCTCCCACACACATCGTGCCTTTCGGACACTTCCTGCACTGTCTCGACTGGTCTTCCCAGTAGAAACCGGGGTCGCAAGAGTAGAGCTCCTGTGGAGGCATGCTGCGCACCCCTCCATCCATCCAGATTGGCTGGTTGTGAAAGGTGAAACTAAAAGTGAGGGAACTGAAGGAGGCGATGGCAATGGCTCTGCCATCCTTGGATTTGCCGCTGTCGGAAGCCTGGAAAAAATATATTCATCCGGTTAGAGGATTTACCCAGTTTGAGAAAACAAAACATACCCTGATCCGCAAAACCAAGCATCCGACTGGATGTTCATGAGTTCGTAGGTTCCGAAGCGGTCACCATTCTCATTAAAGCTCACCTCGCCCGAGGCACCCGTGAAGCGCACGCGGCGCATTTGTTCTAAAAGAACCTGGCCCTTGATTGCACTGGGATCCATTTCAGCAAGCAACTGGTTGATGGCAATGATGAAGGTGTAGACTGCATCGAAGTTAAAGGCTTCACTCGGACCCAAGTTAGAAGCTTCACCTGGCAAGGAGCGGAATTGTGAACTGCCACCGTACCATAGATGACCTTCTCAAAACAGGAACCCTTCGCAGGAAAGTTCAGGCCCCACGGTCTGCAAAGTTTGTACACACAGGCCCCGCCGCGCCGAGACTAAGTGGTATGGTTTTGGGGGCGCAACTTGCAACGGACGTGCTGCAGTGCCGACGCACTAGCTCTGGTTCCGTATGAAGTACCCGATACAAAACACAGCACCAGGTGCGCGCGCGGACGAACGCGCAGACCGGACGCTCTCTGTGAGCCAGACCAGCCAGCTGGAAGGCCACTTGAAGGTCTGAACCACTGTCACTGAGAAAAGTAAAGAAAGTACAGCATGCAAGTACATCAAAACATCACCCAACTATGGACACATGGACGCATTGATGGATGTGGTGCATGTTACGCAAATGTAAGGCAGCAGTATCCTTTTTGGATCAACTCCTATGGCCTCCAGCTGCTTGGGAACAGCATGCAAATGAAAAACGATTTTTTGGCACGCCCTGCCCCCTTCCCTGCATCACGGTTGCATTTATGGCTACAAGACAACAAACCCGGAGGAGAACGGCGCGGGAAACTGCGGCCCGCACAGACAGTGCTGAGAAATGGGCCGACAACACAGACGCCCGCAGGACGCACAGTTACAAGGCCCGCGCTCGGACACACGCTCGACCGGGACAAGGCCCGCGCTCGGCCGCACAAGGCGGAGAAGAAAGGGCCCGGCGATGCCGCGGCGATGCCCCAAAAATGCATGTCTGCATCTATCTTGTCTATGTCTATGCGCAGATGCAGATGCAGTATGCAGGAAAATTACGTGTACGGCATAAGTTATAAGTATATTGCTCCGGCTGGGTCCCTCCCATACGGCGGTATGTTCCTGGGCAACAATCTCCGTAAACACAGCAACAAAATCCTCAAAGTTCAGTCGGAACCCAATCGACCAAAGCAGAAACCAATTCGGTTCATATCACTGCGCTAGTACTGGTTGATGCTTTTTTCCAAGCAAATTCAGCCATTCACCTTCAGTGAAGAGCTCGTTCCCCAACAGGCCCACGGGCACCCGCATCTGGTCTGTGCCGTAGATGTCTTGTGTTCCGAGCAGTGACCAAAGCCGCTGTAAGTCTGGAAACTTGGCACCTTTGCCAGAGGGCAGAAAGTACATGAAACCGACTGTCCTTTTGGCAGCAATGAAAGCTGCCATGGTCTCTGACCCCAGCACTTGCCAAGCTGGGCTCAAGATCTCCTCCTCATCGAGGATGTCAAGGAGGGGTGCAGCCAAGTGCCAGCCCACAAGCAGTACGACAAAGCGAGAGCCGATCTGTTTGAGGAGCCTTACTGAAGTACGGGCCTCTTCTGCAACAAAGTCTTGCTGCATGTCACGGAGGGTTTGGCCCTGCACGCGGTCTTGCTGACCGTCAACCCGGGCAAGCTCCTTGAGTGCATCAAAAAGGCCTTGTCCATAGCCCTCGGCTGAATAGAGACAAGCTGCGATTGGAACCTCGAAATGTCTAATCCAATGCCACAAGGCACGTGCCTGGATGGTATCGGGCGGCACAGTTCGAAGAAAGAAGGGGTAAGAGTCCTTGTTGGACAATGCAGGGCTGGTTGCACAGCATGATACTTGGGGAATCTGCCGCACAGCAGCGACAGTGGCAATTGGCATTGAGACTGATGAATACGCTGGGCCGATCAATCCAATGACCGGTTTGGCACCTGTCTCACCCGACATCAAGTCCAAGGCTGCAGCCATTCCCACTTCCTGCGTTCCTTGCGTAGCTTCCAAGTGCAAACTGATGGCTCCAAAGCTTGCATTGGGATGCACTCCACCAGGGATGGTGACGATGGGGGGACCTAGCCGAGCAGCCAACGAAGCATTCCAGTTCTTTTGGTAGTCAATGAAAGCAGCTGCGGGCACTGCCAAGTTTCTTCCCCCGACGCCAAGAGCTCCAAGCGCGATCTCAACACAAGGCGCAACGCAACAGAAGCATCTGGGCGACAAAAGTGCCAGCAGAAGCGCCGCCTTCAAAACATTGGCGCACCCTGCCAGCCAAGCCATGCGCACGGCCCAAGACACGAATTGGCCGAGTACTCTGGCTGCAAAAATGGTCATGTTTGGTATTATCATGAAAATGCCAAATGTTGCAACAATGTGTTGATCCACTTGGAACAGCCACTCAAGTAGAAATTGCATGAAGGTTTTGTAGCTCGCACCAGGAAAGACCTAGGACATCTGGAAACAGCACCGGACAAGAAGCAACAGGTCTCAAAAACACTGGAAGTCCCAAACAACTTTGACATGACTACGATTCGGTTTGAGACTGCAGAAATGTCAATGAGCAGATTTCTTGGAACTTGGTGTCACATACATCCACTGGGCGCAGCCTCTGTGGGCCAGTCAGGGCTCGAAAAAATGAAGCTCTTCTTCAGCCTTGGATGCGGCCGAACTCCTACAACCCTGAGAGAAGTCACGCGCGAACACACATGTGAGACCATACATACGAGAGCACACACGGGAGAGCACCCCCTAAGACCACATTTTTGAGCAAACGAACGACTGGGAGCACAGACCACGGGTAGTATGAAAGAGAGCACATATGAAAGTACTCACATGACAGCACAGACATATGAGCAACGAACTGCAAGGGCGCAGTGACCCAACAACAAGTAAAAGGGGCTGCTACTTTTCTAGCTCACAGCAACTTGGTCCTTCAAGGGGCTACATCATGTAGCAACGGTACATCATGCATGTCATGGGGCATGGAATACGCTATATACTCTGACACCCCTCCACAGCCTGAGTCCCTAGTCTCTAGGCTGCCATGTGAAACCTAACCGCCACACTGTCCACAAGCAGTGTATTGTGCCAAAACGGCATGGCTACGTGAAACTTTTCTCGCTCGATTTCCTCTGTGTTGTGCTGCTGGCGCCATACCACAACTTCTCTTGTGATACCTCTCTCCATTATCACATACACCCGGTCTTGACAAAGATCTGCGAGCGCCTGTGATGTTCTCAATCTTGGACCCCCTCCATGACTGGCAGCTCCTGGTCTTGCTGCTACTTGCTCTGGGGGATCAGTTTGCGTGGAAGTGTTGCTATTGGTCTTCACAGTGCCTTTGCGACACCTCCGTCCACACATAGAGATGGCTCCCCAGACAATGGCAATCAATGCCAACAAATGCACAAGGACCATGTAGATTAGGAGGTTCCAACCATGTCGTTCTTCCTCTTCTTGAGCCTTCACGCCGGTTAGGCAACACAGCAAACACGCCACCACCAAGGCCCTTCTGCATAGTGGCATGACGCTAAGTAAGTCGCTGATGCGTCGGCCGCTCAAGCTTTTGGCGCCGAGGTCGGCCCAATTCACTTCTGCGCCAACCTTCCGGATTCGGAGTTGCGCAGCTCTCACTTTCTCCTGCAGCCACAACTCCTTGATGTCTAGGTGCTTCAGCTTGCCTATGCCGCTGCGCGACGCTATCCCCTTTGCGGCTGTTGAGTCTGTGTCCAGAATTAGAGACAGGCTCTCATACCCAAGACCTCCCCTGTCTGTTTTGACAACAGCCCGGCGGCTCCTTGTCGCGTCATTGAGTAAAACTCTGCTTCTCCACTGGAAAAAGCTACTACTGTCTGACGGGCGCAGCTCATTTCAATGAGATGCGCGCCAAACCTTTTCTGCGTACGCAGACATTGAGCGACGCGTTGCCTTGTCTGCCGCCCAATCCGAATCGGTAAATATCGCAATTTCCGATGGAGTGTCTTGTAGCTCGAAGAGCCATACCTCGGATGGATACTTGGCAAGGTATCGTCCAAGCCTACGAAACCTCATCATGTGCAACCTGGTTGGCTTTGCCATACCTGAGCCTGAGCTTATCTTGCTCATGGCATATTGAATCGAAGGTCTGTCCAAAAACAAGTATAGCGCCGTGCCGGCAAGCCTTCGAAACTCAGTTGCTTCTTCTGGAGATAACTCTTTTGTTAACTGAGCGATCTCCCTTTCCTGTGTCCTTGGAACTTGGAGTGTCAACTCCTTCTGCATTGGCTAAGCCTAGCTCAGATACCAAAATGTCAACGTACTTGAAAGCCTCCTTTGTCACCTTGTTCTCCACGAACTCGCCCCATTGCTTTGAGGCTTCTCTGGTCCCATTCATTGCTTTCAACAGATACCAGACATGCCCGTCATAGACGTCTTCCGGAGGAATAACAGCAATCTTTCCAGTATTGAAAGCATGGAAGAACGCCACCCTCACGCCGTAACGACCGATGAGCTTTTGGCCGCGCGGTTGACCTTTGCGAGCAGTCGCAGCTGATGACACCACCATCCGATGCCCCTTCAGCGGAGGCGTTCCTGAGTGGACTCCATCCACATCATCTGGAAGTGCTTTCCACCCATCAACCTTCACGACCTTGAGGCCCCTTTTGCCGTGCCTCTTCCCAGGTGATGTCAGTCTTCACCTGATGTTCCTCCATCTTGTCCAG